CAGCAGCAACTTCAGCATTGTGACCACTGGGGCACGGGGCCCGAAAGACTTGGAGCAACGCATGGTGGTGGAGCGCTAGTCTTGCGCATCATGATAGAACCGTAAACAACAGACATTATAAATCCTAAACCCTGAACCCCCAAACTCCTCACTTCATCCGGGGTTTAGGCTTCAGGAAACCAGCGAAACTTGCACAAAAGCCTCGCTTCCTTCTGGTTTTAAGCTACGGGGGCCCTAAACCGTAAACCCTAAACTCTGCACCCATAAACCCCTAAACCCTCAACCCCGTCCACACCTTGTTGTTGGACGATGCCTTCGCAGCGCTGACGGCATCGGCAACCCTCAGTGCCACCGGAGTAACGACTGGAGAGTTTAGGGATGCTTAGGGTTAGGGGTTTTAGGGTCCTAGACCCTAAACTCTATGTTTGAGGGTTTAGGGTTGAGTGTTGAGGGTGTTTTAAGGGTTTCTCGCGCTGGGGGCTGTAGACCACCTTTCAGGATTCATGTAACGCTCTGGACCTTGAACGTGTCAGGGAGACTTTGGGGTTCGGCGTCAGGGGCACATGGGGATGCAATGCTGCAGGGGTTAAGCCGAATTTGGGCGAAAGACTTCAGATGAGCTATGGTTAATGACTTCGAGTTTAGATGGGTGCAGGGTCGGCGATCAGCCGGCTTCAACTGTGTGGTGGATTTGGGCAAAAAGTTGAAGAACACTGATTTCAGGCATGCTGTCGATGGGTGAGGGCGTTAACAGCAACCATCCATGCCTCGGAATCCCTGTCATCGTCATCATCACTATGGCAATCATCTTCCACATCAACGCCGCATCATCGTCATCAGTGTCATCAGCAGCAGCGGCAGCTTCATCAGCAACACCACCAGAGGCTCAGCCTCGTCAGCAACATTCCGCCCATGGGCCATGGATACCATCCCCACTGCCCGAGGCAACAACGCCATTGCGGCGAACAGAAACAACACCTGTTTCCTCGGGCTCAGCATGACTGCCACTGCCACTACCTCCCCATCGTGGATATCGTCGACACCATGTCCATCGTCTTCAGCAGCACCCGTCACCACCAACGACCTTGAAATCCTTTTCCGCATCAGCTCACTGCTATCGTCAACATCATCACCACGACAACCTGCATGTTAGCACCATCACCGGTCTCAAGAAGAAGAAGAAGAACAACAACAACAACAACACATAAGAATAGTTCTACTAACAAAAATTATAGCAACAATAATCATAATATCAATGCAAACAATACAAAACAAAACAAACACACCAAAAACAAGCATTTCAAAAAACTAACACAAATAGAAATCGAAATACAAAACAAGCAGTAATCACAAAAACAGTCAGTAGAAGAAGAAGTAGTAGTAGTAGTAGCAGCAGCAGTAGTAGTAGTAGAAGAAGTAGTAGTAGTAGTAGTAGTAGTAGTAATTAGTAGTAGTAGTAGTAGTAGTAGTAGTACCCGTAATCATAAACATAGGAGTAAGAACAATTATAATAGTAGTAGTAGTAGTACGAATATTAATAGCAGTAGTACTGGCCGCAGCCGCAAGATTGAATACACATACATATACTTGTGCACTGTAGCTGCGATTCCGTCGGCAAAGACATACGGATCTCTCGTCCCACAAACGACCCACACACTGCTGGTTTACTGCCCGTCGCCATTGCAACAGTCTTCCATCAGCTCGCTCGCTACTCGGTAGGAGGAGCACATGCGAGGACTTTGCACGGACTCAGCCATAAAGCTCCACCGATGTTGAACCTCTTAAAGTCTGCTGTCTAGGCTGTCTATCCCCCTCGTTCTTGCCTACTGGCGACAACACATGCCTTGACCGTGACCTAGAATTTTTACCGCAACTACCCAAGCCCAAGGCCTAGACCCCATGATTGATCACCTTGAGCCCCAACCCTTGAACCAGCACGGCCCTCAACTCTAAATGTGTTTAGCGACTGTAATTAAACTCGTAGCTGAGACCGCGAACTCGAAATCGTTGCGAAACTCCATGCCGGCATATGCATGCAGTCATCGAAGTCGCGGTCTAGGGTTGCTCCTCAGAATGCCGCGTGTAACAAGCGCGCATTCATGCAAAGAGTCGCGTCCCGGCGGATTCCATACTCCCTGCCCGTCCTGCCTGGGTGCAAGATCTGACCAAAGCCAGTAAGGTAAAAGGATTTCAGGTCCCAGCCTGTGTGCGATGAGATGCACAGCTGCGCTGCTGATATGTCTTCGTCGATGTTGAGAATCAACACATGGACCTTGTCAGAAGGGTCTCGGACAAACACTTGCACGTGCTGACCACCAGACCGGGAAACGCTTCCCAACAGCTTCGTCTTGATCGAAACCTCTTCTGCCAATTCTAGCTTCTCGGCAGCGAGCTGGTGGACCCGCGCATTGGCCAGCCTTAACTTCTTTGCTAACCTCTCGCTCTCCTTCGCAAGCTCGTCAGAGTGAGCATTGGCCAGCCTTAACTTCTTTGCTAACCTCTCGGTCTCCCTCGCAAGCTCGTCAGAGCGAGCATTGGCCCGCTTCAGCTGTGCTATCAAGTTTGCGTTTTCTGGCACAGGGCATGCAGCCTGGTGAGCAGCGCAATCCTGCAACCGCCCTGTCCACCCGCACCCAGAAATTTTGTAGTCGCACATGACCTTTAGATCATCAACCAGCGATTGGATAGGATGGCTTCGTCGTAGCTGTGTCTGATCAATGGCCACTCGGCATAAAGGACAGCGGGATTGTGCAGCTGTCGCACGGCCCATGCACGCAGAGCAGAACACGTGCTGGCATTCGACCCCACACACAGGATCCACGAAGACTTCTGTGCATATTGCACAACGCAAGCCAACAGGAACATTGCACGCATCGACGAGTTTCTCGTCCGGAAGTCCCATCTCTAAGCGAATGTTTTGTCAGGAAACTGCAGCATGTGATCGATGGGTGGCTTGTGCTATGGGCATTCCTCCGATTACTCAAATTCGTGCTTTACCCTCGAGGCCATGTCACCATGCCCCATGGTAGACAAGAATGACACAACACTCCGCCCCGACGACAACTTCCACAGTGCTGAGATCAGATGCCACCGCAGCCTAAGCTGGAGGACTCCAAAATTCGGGTTCTTTAAAACTTAGGGTTTACTGTTGTCGCACAACTAAACCCCTAAACCCTAAACCCTAAACCTTGTACGGTAACGCAGACCACCTTTTCGTTCAGAGACGGATGGATGTACTAGGGCTTCAAACCAGCAACCCCTCCAGGACCCACTGAGCCTGCAACCTCTGTCGCAGGGTCTAGTCAAACCACTGTGGGGGCCTTAACAATTAGAAAAGGGTTTTGGGGGCTCCTTACCATAACTATAGTATACTATACTTCCAAACCCTATCTTAATTATTAAGGCCCCTCTATTAGCTAGTTTGACACAGTAGCTGTTGTTGTCTTCCACGAACTGTAACCCTAAACCCTGAATCCTAAACTGTACCTCCGAACTCGTTCGGTTTGGCGGGAGTCGAGGGTTAAAGGGCTCCGGGCGTGAGGGTTTCCGGGTTCAGGAATTTTAGGGTTTAGGGCTTAGGGTTTTTAGGGTTCAGGCTTTTTAGGGTTTAGGTTTTAGGGCTCATAGGGTTTAGGGTTTGGGGTTTAAGGTTCAGGATTTTCTGAGTATCGGCTGCGGGTTTCGGAGAAGAACACACACTTCTTCGTCTTGGGACGCCGGCTTCTCCACCAGTGAAGATGACTCTGTCACGGTTGCCTGGCAGTAGTGGGCACAGTATGCCCTAAACCCTAAAGCTCACAGATAAAGGCAGCTTGGCTATAATTAGAGTGAGGTTTGCGGGTAGATTATTACATTGTACATACAAGTACAACGATGAGGAACCCAAAGCAACAGTCTGAGAAATTATTCCGAGCCCAATAGCCAGCGGACAAACACACACGCCAGTAGATCTGCTGAGAGCCCAAGTAGTCCAGAGTTCAGTGTCTAGGATTAAGTGAAGTGAAGTTAAACCCTAAAACCCAAACCCTAAAGGACCCAAACCGAAACCCCCCGACCCGAGGTTGCAATGGCTTTGCAGTTTGAAAACCCTCAATTTGTATGGGTTTAGGTGGTGCTTTCGGGGATCAGATGCTATGTCTTCAGGGGAGAGGGCCCGGCACTCTAAACCCTCACAGGGTTGGTTTAGGGTCTAGGGTTTAGGGCTTAGGGTTTAGACCCCGCTTGAAGCCTGAAGCCTTCAAGCCACTGTGCCCCAACCTAGCTCCAAGGCCGAAATCCCAAACACCCCACCCCTGCACCCGATACTAGAAAGCCCAACACCCCTTCGTTACAGACTTCCTTTTTTTAATCCTAGGAGGAAGCCCCTACATAAATTAGGGAATCTTCCTCAGTTCAGCGGGGAAAGTTGTTTTTGGGCCCATTCAGAAAACACGAAACACAACACCTGCCACAAAGCCCCAAGCCCTGACACCTCTAAGGCCTAAGGCCTCAAACCGTAAACCCTAGGGTTTACGGTTTAGGGTTTAGGGTGCAGGAATGATAGCATGTGAAGGCCTCGTTCCAAGAGCTGGTAAACGGCTGCTTGCGCGGCGAGACCTCTGGCATCTTCCATGGCTTCAACCTAAACCCTAAACCCTGAGCCCTAAACTCTAAGCCCTAAGCCCTAAACCCTAAGCCCTAAGCCCGTATCCGAAGAGCGGGTTTAGGCTTTAGGGGCTTAGGGTTGAGGCGCTTAGGGCCTTAGGGACTTCGGGGCTTAGGGGTTTTGGGTGTTTAGCAGTTTAGGGGCTTCGGGTTTTAGGGAGCTTGGGATCCAAAAGCCATTGGAAACTCCAATGTTCTGAGCCCTAAACCCTAAACCGTTTAGGGTTTAGGGTTTAGGGTCTAGGGTAAACTCTTCAAATCTAACACCCGCAAGTCGAGAATTAAGGGTACTTTGGGGTTGGGGTTTAGGGGGTAGGGTTCAGGCTTTACGGCGCGGGGTCTGGGTTTCTGGTTGTACGGTTCAGGTAGTTGTTGGATCGGTGTAGTAAGGGTTTAGGGTTTAGGGTTTAGGGTTTAGGGTTAAAGGCGCCTCAATAATCAGGATGTTGAATAGGGTTTTGGGGGGGTGCACTGCAGTACTATATACATCTTATGCATCGATCGAGAGATAGATAGACAGATCGATAGATAGAACAGACAGATGCATAGAAAGATGGCCGGATGGCTGGCTGGCTGGCTGGCTGGACGAACAGACGGACGGACGGACGGATTGGACTGGACGGACGGACGGATGGATAGATAGATGGATAGGTGGATAGGTGGATAGACGGCCGGATGAATAGATACCAGTAGGTCGGGCAGGTCGATATACGCACATACAGATTGCATATGAGCACATATAACCCCAATCAAGGCTCTTAGCTAAACCCTAAACCCTAAACCCTAAACCCTAAACCACTTGCTAAGTCGCATGATCCTCAAAGTGAGCTGAACCTGAACCCCCAAACCCTTGAGAAAGGAAAGCCCGGACCCTTAAACCCTAAACCCTTGCAGACCCCTTATAGAACCCTGGTTATGGTTTAGGGTTTAGGGTTTAGGGTTTAAAGTTTAGGGTATTTTTGGATTCTAAAGCCCAAACTCTTGAGAAAGGAAAGAGATAACTCTCTGAGGACCCAGCCGGAGGCTTAGGTGCTTGGTCCGGAGGCGGGGGGACCTGAGGAGCAAGGCTTTGAGGTTTGCATAGGGTTCTATAAACGTCCTAGAAGAGTTCTTGAAAAGTTCTATAGTTCCGATGCAAGGCTCTGCAAGAGTTCTATATGACTTTCTATCGGTGTTCTACGAGGGCTCTAGAGGAGTGGCTCTTGGCTTCTTCAAGTCTTTAGCACGTTGTAGCATTTTGACATGTAAGGGTTGCACGGGACTTTCCCAGGATTCTTATAGGGTTTGTGGTCTGAACCGTGCATTCTATCGGATTTGTATAGATCCGCTATAGAACCCTTTGAGGCCCCTCGTAGCAAGGTGTTCAGGGAACCCTAAACCCTAAGCCTAAACCCTGAACCGCTAAACCCTAAACCCTAAACCTAAACCCTAAAACCTAACACCTAAACCGCTAAACCCTAAACCTAAACCCTGAACTCTGAATCCCTAAACCCCTAACCCCCTGAACCCTAAACCCCTAGACCCCCTAAACCCCCAAACCGATGGAATCTCTGTCGGCTCCAGGGTTACAGGCTCCGGGGGTTGAGGTTTCAGGCGAGAAAGGGTGCGTATGGGGTTTGGTTCAGGGTTTAGGGGCTTTAGGGTTGAGGGGTTTAGGAGTCTAGGGTTTAGGGCTTAGGGCTTGGGGGCTGTAGGGTTTTAGGGTTTAGAGGCTTAGGGTCTAGGGGATTAGGGTTCAATTAGGGGTTTAGTCAATAGAACCCTAGAAGAGCCCTGAAAAGAGCCCTCAAAAAACTTAGCGAACGTCAAGAACCCTGACGGCGAACCCGTATGGGACCCTCCAAAAACCCCAGAAAAACCCTTGCTTAAACGGGATCCTTAGGGCTTTAGGGTTTTAGGGTTGAGGGAACCTTTAACCACAGAACCTTTTGAGTGCACTTCCTTGAACCCTAAACCCTAAACCCGCAAACCCTTTGACCCTGGACACCTAACCTTAGGGTTTAGGGTTTAGGGTTCAGGGTTTAGGGTTTAGGGTTTAGGAAATCCTATAAACCCTAAACCATGAACCCTAGACCCCAAACTCCAAGAAGCTTCGAGAGCCAAGGGCAAAGGGCCCGACAAAGCGCCACGTCTGAGGCGCCACAACCGAACCGGCCTGACATGGGTGTCGTCTTGGAGGTATTATTAAGGGTTTTTGGGCTAAGGCAAGGAGAAATGAGTTGTTTGTTTCGCTTTTTTGAACGATTATCTAAGGAGAAAGTGTTTCGTTTTGCCTCAAGTTGGTCTTTCTTTTAAGTACGGTGCTTTCGAGAATGGACTTTTGTCTTGAAGCGGGGCTGGGGGGCTGCCTGCCAATGAGACCCCTGTTCTGCGTTCCCTGGCCCTAAACTCGAAACCCTAAAACCCACACTAAACCCCTTTTGGCTCACAGTGCACTAGCCATTGCGGCCCTGAAGAACCCAACACCATGTCATGTCAAGAACAAGGTCTGTATGTTACTACCGTCCTTCCCTGCCTGCCTATCGACCGACCTACCGACCGACCTCCTCACCTACTGACCTAAGGACCTGCCCACCTACCTGGGTGCCTTCATCCATACGTGTGTGCACATGTGTCGACATGTGTATATATATATATCTGTGTGTGTATACATGATATGCATGTACACACAGAGACAACTTGACAAAAACAATAATGTGCATGTGTACTTGTAGAGAGAGAGAGAGAGAGAGAAACTCATCTTTCGCCAACACAACAACCTGAAGCTCGTAAACACAAACCCCGAAACCCCTAAACCCTAAGCCCTAAATCCTAAACTAAACCCTGAGCTGTAGACCCGCTCGACCTCGTTCTGCAGCAGCGGGAGGTCCGCAGGGAGGGGCCAGGTGGTCGCCGCGTGGAGCGCGGCAACTGCGGGGGGGGGGGGGTAGGGTTTAGGGTTTGGGGTTTAGGGTTTAGGGTTTAGGGTTTAGGGTTTAGGGTTTAGGGTTT